TTCCCTACAAAGCTATATTAAAATACTGTTATAATTATATGTAATCAGTAAAATAATTTATTGATTTTAGCATAATATAATCTACCATGATAATAAATACTTTCTTATTTATTCACCATTAATGAATCATTTACTCTACTCTTATTTAAAGAAATAAATAGATTGATTAAAATTAGAAGAATGCTAAAATATATAACAATATAGCAATTATTATTACACTGAATATTTCTTATTGCAGATTATAATTACCAATTCACAGCATCCCATGTTGCACTTGCTCATGTTTGCTCAACTTCGCAAAGATACTTAAGACTGTCTGTCCTTATGAGTATCTTTTGAAGTACAGTGGAAGTAGTAATCTGTTAATTTTACTCAAAGGAGGATGCCAGTAACTAAACGTATTCCATGCCCTTCGCGGTAAGTAAGTGGTTTACGTATTACATACTGTAGGACGAGAAACAAAGAGATCTACAAATAGGTGACTTAATACTCTGTCTTTACATTAATTTTCAAACCCTTCTTTTTGTGATTCCATTTATGCAATCCTTCTTAGGAAGGTTGGTTCTTTAAACATGAAATATTTGCTATTTAAAATATATATAGTAATCTTTTAAAATGATTTATGAAATAGCTAATTATTTCTATCATTTTAAAAATAACAAGTATATTTTCTGAATTATAGTAATTATGTTACTGACATCCACCTTTAAGCTATAAACTTAAAATGTTTAAATATATAGAGCAATTTATTTAGTTCTTCATCTTTATATACAGTGACTGTTTTATAATTTAAGAACGTAATTAAATAGAAACAAAACTTCCACCATATGAAATTGTTTATAAAAATGCCTATATTCAGAGTATTATTATTGTTTAATGCTATAGGGAATAACTAGGTTTAAGAATATGAACAGTGATTCAACATGTAAGGAACGTAAATATTGTATCACATCTTACAATGTGGTAAGAAATAAAAAAGACAAAGGTGGCAGAAATAATAATTCATTACTTTTTAAAACACATAATTATATTTTATGAAAAAAACGTGTAAATCTGTGAATGAATTATGATAAGAATAATATCAGTTACTATAATTTATTATTAATTATTAAATTATATTCTTTCAGATCTGACGGTGGTAGCAGTGAAAGTCCATTACTTGTGGAAGAAGGAGAAACAGTTGGTGCACCTCACAGTCCACGCAGCAAACATAATCACAATCATTCACATGCTAATCCTCATAGGTCCCACAGTTATCGTCATGAAAAACCAAAACATCTCATAAAATATGGAGAACTAGTTATTCTTGGGTAAGAGACAAATTTTTTTCTGTTACATTTCAATGAATATATAAATATATGGAAGTATAAGGTACTTAAATATTTTCTAGTTACAATGGATTCCTGCCACCAGGAGATAGAGGAAGAAGAAGGAGTAAGTTCGTTTTGTTTAAGAGACCTGTACCAAATGGCGTGAAACGCAGTAAACATTACATCGTTAAGACGCCTCATAGTTCACAAGCAATTCTTAATACAAAACAACATTCAATTTCATATACTCTTTCTCGAACACAAGCTGTTATTGTAGAGTATACTGAAGATGAAGGAACTGATATGTTTCAGGTAAATTTGATATTGTTTAATTTTTTTTAATGTATTATTTTCATAGTATTTATATTGATATATTTTTAAATAATACAGGTTGGGCGTTCTTCTGAATCTCCTATTGACTTTGTCGTTATGGACACTTGTGCAGGAGGCAGTGATGGTTCCAACGAGGGACGTGCTGCTCAAAGTACAATTAGCAGGTTTGCCTGTCGAATTCTAGCCGATCGATCGGATCCTAGAATCGCGAGAATATATGCCGCAGGTTTTGATAGTTCAAGAAATATCTTCTTAGGGGTAATATTCTTTACATAATATGTTAAAAAAATGAAAAGAAATGTGAAAAAAAAAAAGAAATGATCGTTATAGGAAAAAGCAACAAAATGGCAAGAAAATCGTGAGATTGATGGCCTTACGACAAACGGTGTTTTAATAATGCATCCACGAGGTCAATTTTGTGGCGGTGAAGCACAGTGTGGTTTTTGGAGAGAAGTCAGTGTAGGCGGTGGAGTTTTTTCGTTAAGAGAAAGTCGAAGTGCCCAACAAAAAGGAAACGTCGTAGAGGATGAGAACAATATTTTGCAAGATGGAACTCTGATTGACCTTTGTGGTGCCACGTTACTTTGGAGATCAGCTGAAGGTCTAGCAAAGTCGCCAGTGAGTACAAAAAATCTATAATATTTAAATTTGTATAAAAATTCGAAGTTCAAAATATTATGTATTTTGTATAGACAAAGCATGATTTGGAAGAACTAGTTGATGCTATAAATGCCGGAAGACCACAGTGCCCAGTCGGTTTAAATACGTTAGTTATACCACGTAAAGCAGCTACAGACTCAACACAACAACAACCATATGTCTATTTGAAATGTGGACATGTACAAGGTCTCCATGATTGGGGACAAGAAAAAGATAAAGCCACAAAAAGATGTCCAATGTGTCTCATAGCCGGTTCAGTAGTAAAACTTTCAATGGGAATAGAACCTGCATTTTATGTTGATTGTGGCCCCCCTACTTATGCATTTAGGCCTTGTGGACATATGGCTACGGAAAAAACTGTGAAGTTAGCAATACATATATTATAATACTTATATATTTTTATATGTTTAGCAAAATATATATAATATGAATACTTTTTGTGTTACAGATATTGGGAAAAGGTTGCAATTCCACATGGTACAAATGGTTATATTGCAATTTGTCCGTTTTGCGCAGTCCCTCTTGAAGGAACACCAGGATACGTAAAACTGATTTTCCAAGATAATGTAGATTGAGGTTCGTTTATTATAAGATCGTGAGTATGTGTAGAAATCATTAACTTCTTATAAAATTCAAGGACTATTAAAATTAATAAAATGTAAATAATCTTAATACAAATATATAACAAAGTTCTGTCTTCTTCCCTCAAACATAAATTTAAGCAAAACTTTTGTATGTACAAATAGCTCTGCAATAATTATGTACATGATTCTTAAAATAAATATCCCTTCTTAAACAGTATTAATTACATATATTTGCTATGTATTATTAAACTTTTTAATGTAAATTTTTTAATATCTAAAAACCACTTTGATATCACGTTCTAATTTTTTATCTGACATTTTATAAAAAAAAGAAATTGTTTTTCTACTTTATAATTTATGAAATGTAAGGTTATGAGAAAATGCATGGTTGCAATATTTGAATCAATGATTATTTCAACGTATATATTTTCGAACATATCCTCATTTTTTTATGATCATATAATAACCACATAAGATCATGTAATCATATTATAAATATGTAACATTTCCAAATATGGAGTTACGCGTGAACTATTCTTATGTACACGAAATATTAACTAGATTTAAAAGTATAATAAGTATATCAAGATCAAATAGAATAAGTATATTAGTATATTAATATCTAATAAATTCAATCCTGTTTTTACACTGACAGGAGAATGCGCCTACTTTTACACAAAGATATTTCGAAATATTGGTGTTTCCAGTAAAGTGTGACGGACAATGTACAAATCTTAGTCTATATTCTCGAAGAAAAACCTCTATTGCAAAAATGACGTTCAGTGAACGCGTTTCTTTCCTGTTTTTTTCTTTTTTTTTTTTTACATATAATGTGCACAAATAAGCACGTGAGAATTCATACGAAGAAAAAATGATTGAGCATAATTAAAAATGATAATTAGTTTTATCTTTTTCGATCATTGGACCCACTACGACGAGAACGTGATCGACGGTTACGGCTACTACTGCGTGAACGTTTTGATCTGGAACAAATAAAATGATTATCTTTAACTATCATAATATATAAAATGTTTAATAAATTTTTACATCAAGAATTTACTATGTATATCATTAAAATATATATTAATTTTTAATCGATTTTAACCAACCTTTTTCCACGACTGCGACTTCGAGAACGTGACTTTCTCCTATCCCTATCCCTGCGTTCGCGATCTCGATCTCTTTCGCGATCACGATCACGATCACGATCACGGTCGCGGTCGCGGTCGCGGTCGCGATCACGATCACGCTCTCTATCGCGGTCACGATCACGATCTCGATCACGTTCACGTTCTCGATCCCGATCGCGATCGCGATCTTTGTCTCTGTAACCCAATCCTCCGCGTCGACTATCACGATCTCTATCGCGATCATCTCTGTCTCTATCTCTGCGTCTATCCAACAACGACTCTCTTTTTTCCTTACGTCGTTCTTCCACAGTTTTTTGAAGCTCAGCCAATTTTTCGCGGATCTTGATGAAGCCTAAATGTAATTTTCCACCGAAATGATCTGCTAATCGTCGATCATTATCATGAATTCCAAGGTATGCGCTGCAAACTTCGCAGACTCTCAGTTTTTGTTGCTGATAACTAGACGCTGGCATACTATTCCGATATTCTTGTTCGGCCTCATTCTTCTTTTTTCGTAACTCGTCAATCTCACCCATAAGCTTCATGGATTCCTCAACGAAACCTTCTTCACCAAGTTGTTCGGCTTTGGCCAATTTTTTGCCAATTTCTTCTGCGAGTACATGAACATTATTCGCCTTTGCTGCTACTTCGGCACTAAGCTCTTCTTGCGTTTCTGCGAGACGTTGTTTTGCTTGTTCTGTACGGCGATCACAATCAGCAATAAAATTTTGTAAATGTTCCATGGCCTTGAAATATGAAAAATTTAAATAATGTTTATTTAAAATAATGTTTAAATTATAAAGTAAGCTTCGAAATAAAAATTAAGAATTTTCCTTTTTCATCCAAGAAATACTAATATAAAGAAAGGATACTTACATCGATATCATAAAAGTGATCCTTCTTCTTTTGCGCAGCCTCATAGTCAGCCCGTAGGGCCAAGTCGTGAATCTGGGGGCATTCTCCCAGGTCCATGCGCTGCGATTTACAAATCATTCAATATTAGGTTATTATTACATCTAATCCCAAGAAGCCTCATTGGGTTTATTTAATATATATATACATATAATCCCTCCCGACTTGTTTTATGAAAGATTATACGACAAGAACAAGGTTTTTCAACTGGCTGCTTCGTAAACATAAAACTAAACTGGTTAAATCGATAATCAACTAAATAATTTAGAACGCAATAACGACAGAAGTTAAGAACCCTAATTGTACTTGAAAAAGATACGATCTAGATATGCTTTTTTTAAATCTTTTTTCATTATAGTACAAGAACTTACAAACGGTAGCACTTTTGGTATAAACATACGCGCTTGCAATGTAATTATATATACGTGAGTATATATTTTTATTAAATGAATAAATATATCACTATATTTATCATTTATTCCTCTATATATCACGTATATACGCTTACACTTGACCGTCATTATTACTATCATTATTTATTTTTTTGATTCACAGGACAAAGTAAAAATGCAATTCAATTTACAGATAAATATTTTGTTATGTTCACTTACAGAGTGGCAACACCTCTCCGCCTGACACGACAATGCGATGGCAATGAAGCTACAATCAGCACACACCTTAAGTTCATATGTTCAATGGTCTATGAAACAACTTACAACCTAATAGGTTTATTAAACTATTTATGGTAGAACACGAAATTGCCATATGTGAATCAATTCTAGACGATTTAGAAAACGAATTCAATACGTACATCCAATGCTGAAGAAAATTTTTCTAACAAAACTGGCGCGCTGTATAGTTCCCCCTAAATAAATGTCTTTCTCTCCCTTTCGCTCACTGTTCATGCCACTTTTCACTTTTTTTTTTCAGATGGATAACTTAAACGTCTTGCAAATTGCCAAAATAAACGCTTAATTATTGACGGTTAATGTACAATTTCCCTTTTGATTTTAATTTTTCTTTTATTTTTTTTCTCTTTTTTCTTAATTTCAAATAAAACGGAGATTTAAAGTTAGCCGTGTATGTTATCAACTGAAAGAAAAGCTACTGCGCGTTACAATAGTACGCATTTGAATTAGTTTCGATAATAGTTTAACTCTATACAGATGTTCCTAATGGTACACACGTTTGAAATGAAAGAATGAAAAGAAGAAGTGGAATAGGTCAATATCTAATCTCAAACGGCATAAAACTAACATACTGTGAAATCTCGATCGAACATTTCTTTGAATCGATCGTTTACACGAAATTGTTTATTTATATTTCCCTTTTTATATATTGGAGAAAGGATATTATTATACCATATTTGCTATAGATCGAAAATCATCATTAAATGTTTGGGACGACTTGATACATTCAAAGCTTGTTAGTCTGCGAAATAAATTTTCATGAAATGGCCAATCGAAGTTTCATTGCATATTAATTTATAGGAGAACGAATTTAAATTTGTCGAAAAAAAACATTTAGAATTCCGAGACTCGAATTCATAAAAAATTTTGTTTTCTTGGCAATTCGCATTTTTTTCCTTTCTTTTTTTAACTTTTTTTTATTACTTACAGATCACTGCTTCATTTCCTGTACCCATTATATCTCCGAGGATGAATACGATTTTCACACATACTTTCAAAGTAAACTTCATTTCTACCTGCCGTAAACGGCATTATTAGTAAGAAGCGACAATAAGACATCGTCTCATGAATCAGCATGGCGCTACTCACCAACTTTACACAGGCCTTTCAGGGTCTCGGAATTAATATTCGACACTCAGCCTCGCCACCGTTGACCGGTAGAGGGGCTGAGGTAACCGCCCGCCTTTATATGTCATTAATCAAATTAATATACCTAGTACTTGAATTATGTTAAGAGATAATCAAATTGTAGAATTGTAATACGTACGTCCTCTTCGCTTTTCAGTACTTACAGTAACGCGCATGTGAGAGCGACAAGTACAACACGACATATGAGCGGACAATACTCGCAACAATATTGTACAATGGATCTGATTGGAATTGCTTTTTCCAGAGACTCTGGAAATAGAACTGTAGGTACATTGACATTAGTGAACTTGTATATTCGTCATTCTCGCGAGTATTTGCCAGAAGTATTTCGTTTTTTCTTATATATTTCTTTCATAATTCGTTTTTCTTTTCAAATTAGTCTTTAAATACTTCGTTTTATTTATTTATTTGTTTGACATCTTACGTAGCTGTATTCTATTTTACCGCCCTGAACGTAAAATATATAGAAGGGTGCTTGCTAACTGCGATACGAGATGCCCCCTATGCACCGAATGCTAAGTTGCAAGTCTCCTTTTAATGTCCCTGAATATGCTATAGTACTTTTAAACGGTGCATTTTGAACACAAAATTAAAAAAATGATAAATAAGAACAAATGAAAAATCTAATAACTTCCTATTATATAACATAATAAATACATATGTTCGCTTTGCATTTATGGCACGTATATTACACTTTAATAACAAAGAACTTTTAACCATAAAATATACGCTATTCGTGTTTATTGCCTTTATTGCAATCGAAAAATCAGATGGGAAAATTTTCTGATCCTATAAAGGAATATGTTGTAGTAATATGCCAGTTATTAAAAATATGTTTCATAACGCTTGAAGAAATGTGTAATATATTCGAGATAAAAATTCAATATTGATTTAAATATCCACTTTTTTCTTTTTTCCCCAAGAAAATCCGTGCTAACATTTCGCACGTGAAAAAACATTTATAATGTCGCTTTACTGCAAGTAGTTAGACACATACAGAATTGAACAAAAAAAAATAAAAGAAAAAAGAAAAATTGAACTTTCAATCTTTTTAACAAACACCCTTTGGACCAATTCGCACAAGATGACAAAGAAATGCGCGAAGCAGTAATGACCGATATTATGCTGCCATACGAGAAATTATATTTTTACTGTAATCACAGAATATTTGCTGATATGTCAACCTTATGATTACATTTTTCATAATTTCCTGTATATACGTCCACTCGTATAAAACCATTAAAATAAATATTGATTTAATTTTAATACATTTCTAGGTTTTATAAAGAAAAGAAATGAGATAGAAAAAATAATAAAATATTTGTAATATGAAATATTTACAAAAGATGTTAATACATTTTTTATATTGTAAATATATATAAATTGCAATTTCTATATCTATACATTTTTAATTTAAAATACTGATTTTGTGTTGCATTTTATTTCAGATGTATATGAAATTGGTAGAATTTGCAAAAAAAAAAAGAGAAACATCTAAATGATAACATAGAATAATTAAATATTTTAATTAAAAGTTAAAAATTCTACATCTCGCTTCTTCTTTTTTTCAGATTGTAAAGGAATATTCCATAGTTATGATTTGCTGCCCCGTATTGCACTTCAACGCCTATCTGGTGTGAATTGATCAGAATCAATTCTCTGAGTATATCACACAAATGTCCTATTGTTTGTATATTGCAAAACTAATTTGTGTTGTCCAACTATTTGGCATAATATGTAAAATTGGTCAGACCAATTGGCACTGATAAAAAAAAAAGCACTATGCACAATGTATTTAAATTTTGTTTAGAACATACAAAATTATGCAAAAACTATTATATAAATACATAAAAAGAGACTTGTCAGTATATATCTATGTGTAACATAAAATAGTATATTTTAATAGATGTTATTAAAATTAAAAAATATTTAATTTTTTTAATTGTCCAAGGAAGTTAGGCAACCAGACTTAAGGAAGAATTTGCCAAAAATTGTATTTGGGAATCAATTATAGACAAATAATTATTATAGTTACACGATCCAAAATATAATTATATATTAGATATAAATTAGAAAAATTGACATTTTGATTATTTAAACAAAATAAAAGGAATAATACATAGTAACAATAAAAATAATTTTATTTTAGTAAGTTTATGCCAATATGCATTGATGAAACTAGTGCATAACACCTTTTTTATCTTTGAAAATTAATTTATAATACCTATTTACATTAAAGTAATAACGAGTAGTCAAAATAAATAAATTTAAAAAGATTTAAATAACATTAAATAATAAAATACCAAAAGGTGATCACATACATTGAAATATTAAAATGTTTTAATTTCTTTCTATTGTACTTAACATTCATAATATCATAAACAAATTGTTAATTATGTGTATGTATATATACATGTATATGGTGTACATATGCTTATACATTTAATGTATGAAATGTATAAAACATTGTATTTTATGTTCTTACAACGTACATACACCTACCTATAGAAATAGTTTTTCTTTTAATCTTTTAAATTAAATATTTTATAGCAAAATATGAATATTTGCTTACTCGTATGAATCCATAATTTTGTTATAATTTCTTTTTAAGACTGTTATTTTTCTTTTATTTAAGTGAGACAATACTAACTAAATATCATTACTAAGTTTCTGTATATAAAAAAAGTATCCTTATAATTTATGCATTGCCAATGATATCATATGCTATCGTTTGTATAATTCTAAAAAGCTTAAATGAAACATGTATCTAAAACTATTATAAATCATTCTTATATACATATATATGTATATGTATATATATTTAAGCTAAATGATGTTAATATGACAACTAAATTTTTAATTATTCTTGTTATATATCACTCTCATTTTACATTAATATAAAGAAAAGAAAAAAACTAATTATTTTTAATACATTGAAAACATAGATCATAATGTAATTTTTGAATATTCATGAAAATTCACTTAACACATTGTTATAGCTTTTGTACATGTGATTCAAATTTGTTTACAAATTAAAAAAATTATATAAAAGCAACATTACATGTGCATGTTGACAACATATTGCTATTTTGCAACATACAAAAAAAAAGAACTCAAAAAAGAAGCAAATGAGTTTACTAAATATATGAAAGCAATTGAATCGTGTAACCAGAGTAGATTGAAAGAATATAATTATAATAACAAAAAAACTAAACATGACATCAATATCTACTGACGTCTGATTGCTTTCATGTTAATGTAAAGAAGTATTTAAAAATGGGATACAAAAATGCTCTATTATAGCGTAAAAGTGCCAATGATATGTCATTGATATTCAATATGTGATAACTGAAGTAAACTCACCGTCGATGATAGAATTTCGTGTGGACAGCATGCCAATAAAAAGCTCTTGCAGACCTTAGGATCCGAGTACTTCACTTGAAATTTGTTATTTTCACCTAAAATCGTGATATATTTTTTAATAATTATATCTCATAAACAGAACAGTACATATGTAACAGTAAAAGGTGTAAGCCACCATCTTGTATTTTTGTACGAGATTTCAAGTAATTGTAAATACTGATGTTACGAAGAACATTCAAGTTTTTCTGTGAAGCAATAATACGCACCATTCCGTCCAGTTCCCATCAACTGGTCAAGCATAGCTCGCATTTGATCGTGAGCAGTCATTTTTTGAGAGAGTGCAATATTTCAGATGCACTGTCAAAAATGGGGGAGTGCAATCAGCCACACCACCAGCCTTCGAGTTTCGAGTTATTGTCCAACTCGTATTTATCGATCAGAGTATCGTACACCACTAATCGTGTACGTGTGATTCGTACAGGTCGTTCTAGAAAATATATAAAACTTCCGAGCATATAATAGCGACCAATAAAATTTCAGATCTTATGTACATATTCAGAAACTGCTTTCGATTGGTTATCACTTTATTAACACTTTCATAATTTTATTCTTAATTCAGTATATAATAAAAATACAATTATTCAACATTTTTAATATTTAATATAAATCTCTTTAAAATTAACTACAGTGTGTACATTTTTAATATATTTGTAAGATATCTGTTTGTATAGTTTTAAGTTGGTAATAAACTGATCAAATTTTCCACATTTCCTTTAAGAAAGATATAATAACTTACATCTATGGAAAGTTAAATGAATAGATAAAAAATGCGTATTATACGAAAACATTAATGAATACAGAATAAATTCACATTTAATATACCTTGCATTCCAAGTAATATATCAAATAGCTAATAAAAGAATACTAAAGATACAATTACATCTAAAGTCGCGTCGGCGCAATAGTAACTTGTTCCATCACCCTCCGGAACGATCATCTATGGTATTGTGAATCTAGGGAGTTCAATTAGGTATATATATTCAGTGTACTAGTAACCCTATTGCGCGTGTGTAATACGCGCCGGGGGTGGTTAGTCAATGGTTCAGTCTACGAACGTAAAAAATTG